CGCCTGCATCCCCCATCCCGCATCCCCCATCCCGCATCCCCCACCCCGCATCCCCCACCCCGGCCCCGGGGAGCTGCTGGGGACCACGGCTGCCTACGTGCTCGTCCTCTCTCGATCCCAGCAGCGCAGCTCTCGCACAGCACCACCAGTGTCGTGGTTTGGGCCTGATGGGCAGCCAACCCCCGCAGCTGGTCACCCTCCCGTCCCCCTCCCCACCTGGGAATGGGGGGGGGAATTAGAGGGGTGAAGGGAGACTCGCAGGCTGAGATAAGAACAGTTTAATAATGGCAATAAAACGAGAACAATGATGATGATAGAAAAAAAAAGAAATATATAACCAGGCAATGTACAGCGTAATTGCTCCCCACCCGCTGACCAATGCCCACCCCGTTCCCGGCCAGCGACCCCGAGATACCAAGATCCCGCAGTCGCAATCCCGGAAGCCAGAGAGCTCCTTCCCAACCACCCCTCCTCTATATAGCGAGCATGATGTGCCATGATATGGAATATTTCACTGGCCAGTTTGGGTCAGGTGCTGTGGCCGTGCTCCCTCCCTGCTCCCCGTGCCCTTGCGCACGGGCAGGACATGGGGAGTCGGAGAGTCCTTGAAGTCTCGGTAGCAGCTGAAAACATCAGTGTGCTATCAGCATTCTTCCCATACCAAACCCAAAGCTACATCCAAAACACAGCACTCATCTAGTCCCTGAAAAGGAATATTAACTCTATTTCAGCCCAAACTAAGACAACCAGGCCCCTGAAAAGTAGTCTTCCCAATGAGACCAGAGCTGCAGCGCGGCGCACGTGTGATCCTCCTGTAAAGCCTGGGCTGTTTTTCAGCAAATGCTGGAGTCCCAGCCACCGAGGACCCGACCAGCTTTCGGGTGTGGTGACCGAGTACTGCTTTCTGGAAGCTCATTCCGCTTCTTCAGGCATTCCCATCTCGCTCCATAGCAAAACCGGGCTAAATGTTGCTGTGTGGCATTAACACATCCTTCCCCTCTCCCCAGAGAAAGCGCCATTGCGAGGGGAGCAAATCTGTTTTCTGCGTGTGAGTGCAAATGTGAAGAAGAGGGGTTGGAGAAGCAGCGCCGTTTGCGAGGTGTGCAGCTCTGTTTCAGCCCGGTGCTGAACACCGTAAGAATAGGATACTGCTTATTTTGATGCAAGAGTAAAAACCGAGACGCTCTGACATGAGTCATTTTGAGACTTCATTTGCCATGAGAATTGAATTTCCTTTCTCAATTTTTTTAGCAGCCATTTAGATTTAATTATATATAGCAACCATATATATTTAACATCTATACATGTTAATATATATATAAACCCCACGTATGTATTATTATATCTATTTAGCAGTCACGTATATATAATTATATATATTTTTTTTAAAAGGGTATTTCTGGCCTTGCTTACGGGTGGGATTGTCTTTCATCTCAGGCTGCCCTGCAGCTCAGCTGTGCGTGAGGGCTGCTGCCTGTGTGCAGCGGGGGCCCGGGGGGCCCGGGGGGCCCAGGCCGTGCAGCACTGCCCGGGTGGAGGCAGCGGCTGTGGCAGGGGTGCTCAGCTCTCTTCCTCCTCGGCCCTTCTGGCGCCCGTGTCCAGCGTCCTCGTGTCCGCCGACGGGGTGGGTGCAGGTCACGGGTGAGTTGGGGTGCGCAGGGGTGGTTACCCGGTTATCCAGGCAGCCTCCAGCAGCGGCTCCGCTAGTGGCCAAGTGCGGCGTGTCGAGCCCCTCGCCAAGGCTGTGTATCAGCCTCCGGGGCGTTTTTATGAACGATTGCGCTGTCCTCTCATACGATATCAAGAGCATAAAGTGCTGCAAAAGCAGTGCCCACGGAGGATCCCATGGAAGGTGGCTGATTAACTTTGGAGCTTTCAGCATTTGTTATTTCCAAGGAGCTTTTGGTGTTCAGGTGACCTTCACGCAGCCTGCAGCCTCCAGTCCCGTCACTGCCATCGTTAAATTACCCGGTAATGAGATTGCTGCAGGTGTCCTTGTTTCTGCAGCTCTGCGTTCACCTGTCAGGCTGGGAGTGGCTCAGTCTCACATGACAGTTGTTATACGAAGAAATGTTGAAAAAATACCAGATTGCCAGTTTCTTATAATGGCAGTTTTAACCTCTTTCACTTGGGATCCTCACAAATTTTAAGAGCCTGACATTGTTTATAAATATTTTGTGACTTCAGTCAGTGCTTTGCATCATTGTTACTTAATTAATTCAGCATGCGGTAAGGAGTAATGATTGGATAGGACCTTGCTGTAGCTGGGAAGGTGTGGGACAGTGATGCTGGCAGGGGACTGGTAGGGCTAGCCTGCCTTGTGGGCACATACCTGTCTGTCTGTCTGTCTATCTATCTGTCTGCATACTGGAGATTATTTCACGCATTGGAATGACATCACTGTATTGTCTTGGTCATTGAGCTTCCCAGTTCCGATGCAGCGATTCCAAGCACATGTGCTCAGGCAGTACAGGTATTTTTAGTTTGCTGTGGCACTTGGCGGGTGAGTTACTGTTTGTCACCTTACTGAGCTGAATTTGCAGAAGGAGCCAAGGACGAGGTCTCCCCTCTTGCCAAAGAGCTCTACCAGTTTTAAGACTTCCTCCTTAGCACAGGCTGAGTCCTCCTGTCGCGTAGGCAGTCCAACGTGGTGCAGCCTTGCGCCAGAAGTTGGAGAAAGTACAGCTGCCGCTGTTGCGGGGAATCCAGGCACCCAAGAGCTGGCAGAAGGTGCCCGCGGGCCGGGGGGTCCCGCTGCGGTCCCGGGAGCTGCTTCCTCTGCTGCCAGCCAGCCCGGTGCAGGCGAGATCCCCGAGCTGCATGGAGAAGCATTTGAACCAAGCAAGCGCCTACAAATACCGGTCACCTTCCTCCCTCCCGTGGTGTCCGCGGGCCTCTGGGCTGATAACGGAGCCGGAGATGTGCTGGGGGCCGCCCAGTTCAGCGAGCGCCGAGGCACAGCTTCCCCCCCCCGAGCACAAGCCGCGCTTCTCCCGCGTGCGTGGCCGTGCACACGTGCTTCGTCCTGTTTGGCGAGGCCCCGAGTCTGGGAGGTAACCGGCAGCGCGCTGCGAGCTCAGGAGGTGGTGGAGGGAAAGCTGTCACCGCTGCCTGAGCCGGGGTGGGATGCGAATTGAAGTGGTGAGCTTTGGTGCCACCAAAATCACCTTGCTCTCGCTCTTCTGTTGCCGCCCTTACCCTCGTCTCCCGAAAAGGGCCGGGAGTTTGAGTGTGTATAAATCAGCCAGACGTGATGTTTGAAGAGCTGCCTCTCGGCTTAGGTCGGGAGTGGCTCACCGGGCGCCGGGTTCGCCCTCTGGGTTGCACAGACCTGCAAGGAGGCTGTGGGGTGCTTGGGCCAAGGGCAGGTGGAGACGGGGCCTCACCCTCCCTTTGGCGGGCTGCAGAGCTTGAGGGGCTCCAGGCACTAATTTGGGAAGGGAAAAACAGCGTTAGCAGAGAAGAGAGGGAGTTGGTGGTGGTGCCGGTACTGCTAGCGTGAGGCCAGCGGCGAACCGCGCGTCCGTGGGAGCCGGGGAGGGGACGAGGTGGGCTGGAGGCCGAGTTTCAGCTGAGTTTCCACGGTGAGCACGTGCAGCAACGCGCTGTTGCTGGAGCCGGCCCGCTCAGCTGAGGTGTCGCACTGCCTTCTGCGGGTGGGGGGGCCTGGGGGCTGCTCCCCCCTCTCCCCCCCGGGGCCTGGGAACAGGCAGTCGCTGCATGGACCCGTCTCATCACCCGACCTCTGTGATTCCGGCTTCTCTGATCCCTCCGCTGCGCAGCTGTCCCTCTGGAAGCCTGCTCAGCCTGATTGTGCTTACTCTGAATATATATATATTTTTTCCCTACTGTCTAGTCTCATTTTTTCCCTCCCGTTTCCAGCTCTGCACACCCCCTCCCCGTGGGGCTCCCCTTCCCACCGGGCAGAGCCCAGCTGCCGCTCCTGCTCCCTGCACAGCGCTTCCGAGGGCTGCTAAAAACCTCCCCGCGCTTGGGAAGCGAAGGCGTGTTCCCATCACGCCCCGTGCCACGAGGGCGAAGGGTCTGACTGCGCTTCGTGGACAGCGTTTCCTTCCCTGGTGCCTGCCCGACTTCCCGGGATGAGCCCTGTGTCGGGGAGCGGCCGCCTCGGCTGTGTTACGCGAGAAGGGGGAGCTGGAAAAAGTGCAATTGGTCCTTTACCGTGGGAGAGGAGTAGCCTCAAACTGAGGCTGATCGAGGCGAGAAAATGCAACTCTGACACACAGAGAGGAGAAACATCAACCCGATGTGCCGAGTGGAATTAGCGTGCGTGAGGCCGTCCGTGTGCACAGCCTGCCCAGGGCTCCCCTCCCCTCGCCCTTCCCCACCGCCCCGCGGAGCCGCGCTCCGGCCAAGGCTGGGGGCTGCGGCGTGTGTCACCGCGGCTCAGGGTCCTTCTGAGAAAGGCAAAAAAGCCTGGAACAGATAAAGTCTGTCGTGTTTTGTGAGCCAGTGTTTCAAGGGTCTGAAAGACTTTTTTAAGCCTTTGAGCCAAAGATGGGTTTGGTTTGCCAGTGAACCCGGCAGCGCTGGGGGGATTTGGGTGAGGAGTGTGTGCGTACAGCACCGGGGCTCTGTCATCAAATGATCGTTTGTCAAGAAATAATATGTTAGTTTATATGCAAAGAGTACAGGATTTCAGGTAGTGCTAGATAAATTGAAGTATGATTTTAGTTTCAAAAAGGCAATTGAAAAGCTCTGAGGGTTGATCTCTGTGTACTTACACAACTGTTTGTTTTGACAAAGAACAAGGTTTTAGTATGAGACCGGTGAATGAAATTCTTCAGCTCTCACTTGGAAAAAAAAAAAATCAAAATCTGTTGGCTTTAGGAAGCCTTGAATTAAACCTGAGGCTCTTGAGAGAGCCTCCTCAAGCAGAGCCTGCGCGACTTGCTCCGAGACAAGGAAAGAGAGCTCTCCTGGCCAGTGTTTGTTGCTGACGCTGTATTTTCTTTTTCTCCTCCCTTGTGTGCACGCAGAAATCCGAACTCAGCTGGTGGAGCAGTTCAAATGCCTGGAGCAGCAGTCGGAGTCGCGCCTGCAGCTGCTGCAGGACCTGCAGGAGTTCTTCCGCAGGAAGGCTGAGATCGAGCTGGAGTACTCCAGGAGCCTGGAGAAGCTGGCGGAACGCTTCTCCTCCAAGCTACGCAGCTCCAGAGAGCACCAGTTCAAGTAAGGGGGTGCTTTCAGGGGCAGAATGGTGCAAAACGATGGGCCGGAGACTGCCTCCAACACGAGATGTTTGTCTGTAGCTGCACAGTCCGAAAGCGGAGCAAACGGGATGGCATCGGTGGTGACCTCGCCTGTCCTCGCGCTGTGCGGGGTTCACAAAAAGAACTAGCCGTGTCTTTTTCCAAGGCTTCCACCACAGCAATTACCGACCTGTGCTGCCCAAAATAGACTTACTATGTGCTTCTTTGAGCACTACAATGGAAATATGAATCGGGGACTAGGAAGGAGTCAAGCCCCTTGATTATTTTTTTTTTTTTTAAGAGGCTTGAATTCAGCCGCTGATTTGATTATGCAAATAATGGTAGGCCCGTTTTATAAACCCTGGTTTCTGTATGTAGTCCAACCCTTGGATGTTGGAATGCCCCACATTGCACACAGATCTGTTTACAGGCTCACGCTTGGAAGCAGTTTCTGGAAATCTAATCTATTGCAGTTTTATAAAATGAAGTGTGTATGTTTTCTGTGTACACACCCATACAGTGTTGAAGCAGGCAAATCCGTAGTGGAAATGTTTTGAAACAAAACTTTGAAATGGGAGGTATGAACTGGATGCTGGAATTGTGTGAAACTCAAGCTGATGATGATAATTGTAAAATCCGCGAATGTGCAAATATGTGCGAGCTTTCATAAAGCAGCCTCTTTTCAGTTGAATCACATTCTCAAGGCTGGCTAAAATAAAAAGGATCCCTCCCCCCAAAACACTCCAAAACAAACAAACAAAAAAAAAAACCAGCAGAAGACCCAACCAAAAAAGCCGAAGCCAACCTGGAGGCAGGGTTTAAGCCCGGGGTGCGCAGCTGGTGCGGCAGGCGGGCCGGCTGCCTCGCGGCTCCGCGGCTGGAGGAGCGGCCGGTGCCCGCGCGGCCGGTGCCCGCTCGCCGGGCCGGGCTCCACGGGCCGGGCTCGGGGCTGGCACCAGTGCGTTGGTGGCTGCTGGGGTTTTCCTCCTGTCACGACAGGCCCTCCCCGGCGTTTCTCGCGGGGCAGCACAGAGGCAGATGCTCGTCCTGGCTGCTTCCCATGCAGCACGTCAGCTGAAGGTCCCACCTTAACCCCCCCGCCACAGCATTGATCTCTGTCTCTTCTGACAGCGGTGTCCATGAAATAGTCTCTCAGCTGGGATTGTGCCCTTTGCTCGACATGAAACCAGTGTCATTCATTTCACTGGCCGACAACGACAGCCACTGTTTAGCTCCTTTCCCAGAAAATTGAGGGTTTTGCCTGTCTGATGCGCTTAACCTTGCTAGCCCCTGGCTCTTCAGTCTTTTTTTTTTTTTTCTCTAACCTCTTGTGATTTTGTTTTTTCCTGTTTCAGCTGAAAGAGCAGCGACTTCTGCAGTTACATTACTAAATCCTATTTATTCCATATTACTAAATCCCATTTAATCTGTTTACTTGGTCTCTCTGGTGCGCAAGGCTTTACTGTTGTCTTGTGCAGAAGTCTGCTGAAAATGATTTGCCATTCAAATGCTGTCTGGGCTTTTTGCATCCCACTGTCGCTCGTCAGTTGTGCGGCGCTGGCTGGCGCTGCGGTGTCCTGCGCCAGGGGTAACTGTCCTGGGGAGGGAGCTGGCCCGCGCGGGCTCGGGAAGGTGCTCTTGGTGTGCGATGGAGCCCGCGAAGGCTCGGGGAGCGTGTGTGCCTCTCCCGTCAGCTGAGAGCAGTGTTATGGCACTGCCGTGGCTTATTGTGCTTCTGCTGCTGGAAGGATGCTGTTGTGCAGAATCTGCAGTGACAATGATTCTCCGCCTTTCCAAAACACCGGGGCACAAGTGCCTGGTGGTTTGTGATGGTAATGGTGGTGTTAATTGGGTCCACTTGCATTCAGCACACACTTCTGCCGAGTCCTCCCTGCCTCTCTCTGTGGTGAGAGAGACTCCCTCAGTGCTCCAGGCTGCTTTGTACCTGCCCTTCATTAGGTTCATCCGCAGTGCTTCCCCAGCTTGCTCATGAATGTCATTACTCCGATGAGGCTTTTGACGCTCCGAAGAGATGCGCTATCCCCAGCAGGTCCTTTGTCCCTGGGCAGCCACGTGCAGCGCGCTGTGGCCCAGGGCCGCGGTGCTGCTGGGCTGCGGCTGGTGGCTCCGGGCTGACGGACTCGTTCACGCTTCTCTGCCCGGTGGTCTTGTCTGTCCGTGCACGCAGGGGTTTTCTGGGGTCGCCGTGCTTTCCTCTCCACGGCTCCAGTGGCGAGGTGGGCTGCACCAGCCCCGCTCCCGTGGGCGAGAACATCTTGGACGAGGAGGAGTACATACGCGAAGGCTTCGGCTGTGCAGTGTAGCGGCAGCGAGCGTGGGCTTCCTTGGCTTTCCCTCGCCCGCCTTCCCTCGCCCGCCTTCCCTCGCCCGCCTTCCCTCGCCCGCCTTCCCTCGCCCTCCTTCCCTCGCCCGCCTTCCCTCCCTCGCCCTCCCTCGCCCTCCCTCGCCCTCCCTCGCCCTCCCTCGCCCTCCCTCGCCCTCCCTCGCCCTCCCTCGCCCTCCCTCGCCCTCCCTCGCCCTCCCTCGCCCTCCCTCGCCCTCCCTCGCCCTCCCTCGCCCTCCCTCGCCCTCCCTCGCCCTCCCTCGCCCTCCCTCGCCCTCCCTCGCCCTCCCTCGCCCTCCCTCGCCCTCCCTCGCCCTCCCTCGCCCTCCCTCGCCCTCCCTCGCCCTCCCTCGCCCTCCCTCGCCCTCCCTCGCCCTCCCTCGCCCTCCCTCGCCCTCCCTCGCCCTCCCTCGCCCTCCCTCGCCCTCCCTCGCCCTCCCTCGCCCTCCCTCGCCCTCCCTCGCCCTCCCTCGCCCTCCCTCGCCCTCCCTCGCCCTCCCTCGCCCTCCCTCGCCCTCCCTCGCCCTCCCTCGCCCTCCCTCGCCCTCCCTCGCCCTCCCTCGCCCTCCCTCGCCCTCCCTCGCCCTCCCTCGCCCTCCCTCGCCCTCCCTCGCCTTCCCTCGCCTTCCCTCGCCTTCCCTCGCCTTCCCTCGCCTTCCCTCGCCTTCCCTCGCCTTCCCTCGCCTTCCCTCGCCTTCCCTCGCCTTCCCTCGCCTTCCCTCGCCTTCCCTCGCCTTCCCTCGCCTTCCCTCGCCTTCCCTCGCCTTCCCTCGCCTTCCCTCGCCTTCCCTCGCCTTCCCTCGCCTTCCCTCGCCTTCCCTCGCCTTCCCTCGCCTTCCCTCGCCTTCCCTCGCCTTCCCTCGCCTTCCCTCGCCTTCCCTCGCCTTCCCTCGCCTTCCCTCGCCTTCCCTCGCCTTCCCTCGCCTTCCCTCGCCTTCCCTCGCCTTCCCTCGCCTTCCCTCGCCTTCCCTCCCCTCCCCTCCCCTCCCCTCCCCTTCCCAGGGTTTTGGGGCAGGGCTCTCGCTGAGCCCGGGTGTGCAGCAGACCTGGCTCCCGGGAGGGCGAAGCAGCGGGTGCTCCCCGGGCAGCCTGCGCGTGTCTGTAGGTGCTGGGGAGGGAGGAGCCCCTGGGGCTGAACCCGGCCATGGGGTGCGGGAGCCCTCCACCCGAGGGGGACCCTCCTCTGCAGCCAGCACCTCTCGCAGGAAAGCGTTGGTTTGACCAGAGCAAACAGCGCGGGTGGAACGTTGGGAACAAATCGCGTGGCTGCCTCGTTTAGAGGGTCTACCTCAGAGTGCCTCTTGGACACTGTGGAAGGTTTTCTTGCAGTTGTATTATTTCTGCAAGTTTTGATTCGCTTTTGATTAATTTGCCTTCAGGACTGAAAGCAGTCCATGGAGAGCAGTGCAGGTTTCTCTCAGTGTTGAGATGGTACATGTCAAAATTAGTTAAGTGCTAAGCAAGCGGGAAATGTTTTCCTGAAACTTCCCTCAAAAGAGAGTTTTTCTGGCCACCCCTGGCTTCCAGGCGGGTCAGGGTCTCGGGATGCCCCTGGGCAGGGTCTGGCCCAGCGGGGCCTCCTGAGGATGAGCTTGCTCTGAGGATGCTGCGTGGCCCCCGGGGACTCTTCAGCTCACCCACTCCCGTGCACGGCAGCCTCTTGTCTGCAGCGCGAGTTGGTTTAAGACCATTGTAAATATTCAGCATACATGAAAGTATTCACGTTGTGCAGACACTTCGTGTTAACTTTGGATGCCAAACATTTTCTCCAGCACTGTTTAGTGGACTAAATGCGGTACAACAGATTGTGTGGCAAATGGGCTCCTTCTGAAATGGAAGTGACAGCTGTATTAATAGCGCAAAGTGGAAAAAAGAAGCAAACCTATCGCCCTTGCAAAGTGTTGAAGGGATTGCCAGGGATGTCTCTTCTCCTCTACCATCTTCTAGAGCACCCAGCTTGGGAGGGATCTGCTTGGGGCTCTGATTTGGTGTGTGCTGCCGGACATCCCTGCGGGGAAGTGCTGGAAGGACTGAAGGAAACTCCAAAGGAGGCTCCTAGAAATGGGAGCAGGGCCACAGAGGGCTTCCCAACTCAGCTGGGGTGAGGGGACCAGGTCTTGAGTTGTCTCTGGCTTGTGTGTTTTCAGGTCCTTCAGAGCTGTTGCCCGGAGTACCTGCGCTGTTAGTGCAATATTGTTAACTGACCTGTTGCAGGGCACACCTTTTTAAAGCATAGGTATGGGGCAGCGGACCAGAAAGTGCACTGGGTGCCCCAAGGAGTTGAGGCAGGGCAGAAACACCAAGTGGTGCAGGGCAGACTGTATGCAGAGATCCAGCTCTGTCTGCGTGGAGTGAAGCGCCCGGGGTCAGAATCGGAGCATCCGTCTGCCCTGCACAGAAAGCCTCTGTCCTGCCCCGGCAGCGGGGGGAGGCTGGTAGAGGAGGAGGATGCTGCGGGAGAGAGCAGCTTGGCTTGGTTGAAACCCTCCTGTATCGTATGTAGGCCGCGAGCTTCAGTGTCAGCAGAGCCCTTCCAGCACCCTTCCCGTACGGAGGAGAGGTGCGGCTGTGGGCAGCCGGGCAGGTGAGACCTGCACCGAGGGCCCCCCCGCCCCCAGCAATGTCCCCTCGAGCTGCACCGCGGCCCTGGGGAGGGGAGGGAGGGGAGGGAGGGGGGATGCTGTGTCCGGGCGACCCCCAGCAGGCCGGTGGGGAGGGGGTGGGCTGGAGGGGTGGGCTGGCTCCCCGAGAGCCGCACCGAGGGGCACCGGGTGCTTGGCTGGATGCGGCGGCGGTGTACTGGGGGGAGGCAGCCCAGAGGCCATCTCTTGGGTTCTAGCTGGTGCAGGTAGTGGGGGAAGGCAATGTTAATATGCTGACAGCAGCCGTTTGAAAGTTAAGTACCTTTTTGATTTATTTTCTTCCCAATTCCCTAGGAAAGATCAGCACCTGCTTTCCCCTGTGAACTGCTGGTACCTGGTTCTGACGCAGACCCGGCGAGAGAGCAGAGATCACGCCACCCTGAACGACATCTTCATGAACAATGTCATTGTTCGGCTGTCACAGATCAGTGAGGATGTCATCAGGCTCTTTAAAAAGGTGACCAAAGCTGCGATGGAGGGTTCTGTTCAGTGGGGATCTATCCTCGCATTTTAGTTTCAAATAGAAGTTTATTGTGGACTTCTACAAAACTGTGCCCCCGCCAAAAATCTAACAAGGTACAAAAAAGCGATCGTTGTTAAAAAGCAGAGAAAGGTAACGTGTACTTCGTAGAATGTCACGTTACCTCTTAATGAGAAAACTAGAGAGGAGTCTAAATTTTGGACAGTGAAAATGTAGAACCACAGTATGGCAGGCCAAGTACAATTCTCAGAGACAACTTGCTAAAGACATAAAGCTAACAAAAACTTCTCCAAAATCACAAGAAAGAAACCTGCTGCAGAATGTGAAGGGGAATACATGGGTGAGGTGGAAAAACGCTTTGAGGTAACAGCCAAAGTTCAGCTGGCTTCTGTAGCTTGGTACTCCTTATAGAAAAGCTTGGACTGGAGATTTTTCTTGGTGGGGTGGTGGTGTTACCAGCTGGAGGAACCGTATCCAACTGAATTGTCATTAGATGTTGCAGAGCAAATCTGTACAAGGGACTGTCACTTGTAAGTCTTTCCAGATAATACTACCCAAGAATTTTAAAAGAAACTGAGATATAAAACTGTCAAGTGACTAGCAGTGAGGTGTGACCTGACGCTTAAACTGGTGTCCGTGCCAGAGAAATAGAAGGTGGAAAACGTGATGACTTTTTTTAAAGACTCCTGGAGGGCTTCAGAGGACAGATCAGCCATCTGACTTTAAAAACAGACTTGTTGGGTGAAACTTTAGCAAAGAGCAGAATGACAGGCATGTAGGCAGATACAAGAGTCAGCATGGCTTTCTGAAGAGAAGAGTCGTGCCTCAGAAATCTAGTGGAGGTATTTCCAGGAGCTGGCACAGTACCTTCAGTGTCTTACGGGCTTTGGAAAAGGTCCCTCACTGAAGTTCTTGAAGAAGCTGTTGAATAATAATGAGCGGTTGTTTTGTGGATTAATGACTGGTTAAAAGGCAGGGAACAAAGGGAAGGCAAATTTCAGTGGAGTTCTTAATAAATTATTTGGAAACGGGATGAATGGTAGGATGATAAAGTCTGCTGATGATACAGAATTATTAATGATAACCAAATTAAAAAGGAGCATCAAAGACTTGCCAGAATCTCGCAGTCAGGTGGACAGGGACTCCAGCTGAAGAGGAGGGGGGAGTGTGTAGTATGGGCAGAGCATGAAGAGTCACAGCAGTCGGGAGGAATGAGGACCTGGTCGTGCTGGCCACGGGCGGTCAGCAGGCACCGGGCGGGAACAGAAGGTGAAAAGGAAAGGCTTTAACATCATTAATACTGTATATATTCTAGTACATTTGCAATATTATGCGCCGTGGGACGTGTTTGTTGCCTCGTGCCATGTTTTTGAAAGCCGGGCATGTGGCCGAGCCCTCGGGCAGTGGGAGGGATGGGAAGGGGGTCCCGGGGCAGCTCGGGGGTCCGGGTGAGGAGCTGCAGGGCTGCCACCCCTCGTGAACGTGCTTGGTGGCATCGCTTTTCCTTCCCTTCTGGGCACCTGCTAATGCCTGCCCCTGGGAATACCGTGGTGGGCTGGAGGGACCTTTTGCCTGCCTCTGTGGCTCTTACGTTTTTCCTCATTTTTGTCCCTTGTTTTCAACAGGGGTAGCTGAAGAACCATGGTTAGTGAGCAGGGTGAGCCTGCTGGGATGCCTGCCTCTTCAAACAGGAGAAGGGCTCTCAGATAGGTGGCTATCTTGAAATTTTAGCCTGGTTGAAGAATAAATTTAATGTGGTATTTTTATGGCCAGTTTCCTCTAGTGTATAGATCTAACCTAGAAATTAAACCACAAGGTCAGGTTTGCATTTACTGATCTGATACGAGACATCATCCCTTTTTCTGTCCTTCTGGCCTCCAGAAATTGGGCACATTTGGGGTATATCAGTTAGTTCAGCTCTAAGCCTGTCTCAAAATTTCCTTCTCATTTGCATTTTACTCTGAATCCATTTCTGAGATGTATGTTAAGACTACCCTTCTGCTTACCCTTCCTAGGTCTGTGAATGGTACATCTCACTTTGAACCGCAGGACAAATCCAGTCAACATTCAAACAAGGACATAAACGGAATGTTTGAAGTCTTTTCTTATAGTAGGCTAATCCTCAGCCAGGACAAGTTGATAGAGTATTTAATCCAATCAGCAAAACTATTTCTTTGTGTTTCCTCTTCCTCTGTCTCTCCTTCCCTTCTCTTTTTTGAATTTAAATTTCAGCTTTTAAGGCACAACACTTATTCTATAGGAATTGTTGCTCCTGGTTTCTCCTTCCCCCATCTTCTGCCAGGAGAGGTGGAGTAGCACTGACTCCCATCTGCAGCCTGCCACAGCCAGCTCCTGCTTTTAATCAAAAGGAGGTTTTACAATAGAGTCGTGGGGATCTGTGATGTCACTTGCATTTGTCCCTTGAGGTTTAAATTGTAGCAGGACTCACCTGTCCCTGGAAATAACGCTCAGCTAAATCATGGAAATGGCTTATTTTGTGTCATCATTTGCTCTTAGTGTGGATAGGGAGGCTGAATAGCCTTTGGGGGATATTCAGGTTATTTCTTTTTCTTCATCTATTGCACACTGTGCCCAAAAGGGGTCTGGGGCTGCGGTTCCCTCTTTGCAGCAGTGACGGGTGAGGAGCCTTCGGCGCCTGTGTGCAATACGAGCACCCTGGTAGGAGGCTTTTGCAGACATCCAGTCCAGCCTTAAAGCTGGTGGGAGGTTGCTCAGAGGAGCTGTCGTTCACTGTTTTATCTGGTCTGGTTTGGAGTATGATGAGTAAAGTGCCTGAAGCACTCCTCCTGGGGAGACTGCACCGTACAGGGCCGTTGGGCAAGTAAAGCGGCTCCGGAAGGGTTAAGGGCACCCGCAGTTGTGGTTCAGCTGTTCGGTTTTGTTCTGGATTGCTCTTTGATGGTAAATTAGGGTAACATTTTTTTTTTTTTCCAGAGATGTCACTTTAAATTCCTCCCATCTAGAGTTTATTAATGGGTTGTGACATGCTGCGGGTACACGGAGGAACTGGAAGGTTTTGTGTTTTGTGCTTTCATTATGTAAATGTAAACAAGCTCGGCGGGGGAGCCGGGCCCTGGTGTCTGGGCTACGAGGGTGCGCGTAGATGAGAAGCAGTTGATGGGTGCGGATTCATCTGCCAAGGAAGGTGCAGGGTGCTGAGCTGCTGCTCCCCTTGGCTTCCCTGGAAGTGCTTGGCAGCAGCGGGGGTCGTTCATCAGCGAATTGGGGCGTCGTGTTCTGTTCCTCTCTGCTGGAGTGTTTCCCCCCCCGCGGACGGTCCCGGGCATCGCTCAGGCACGGCTCTCGCCGTGGGCGACCAGCGGGCCCTTTGGCTTGCCAAAATCTCAGAGAGGGGGAGAGAGGAGCTACTGGGGATTGAGTGTTTGAGTCGGAGACATTTGAGTGAGCCAGCTCCGGGTCTGACCTCGCCTCAGCTCAGGTCAGCGCTGGCTTGCACAGCCCTCAGCCCCAGGGCTTTCGGGACGCGTAAGTTGATTATCAAAGGTAGAGGAGAAGCTGGATTACAGTCCTTCAGTCACTGCTGTCCGGCGGGTGCTGGGTGGTCCGAGCCGGGGTCCCTGCCGTGGCTGTGTTTGTGCCAGCACAGCTTTGCGGGGTGCTCGTGGCCGCGGCTGTGCCCTGCGTTGCAGCGGTACCTGGGGGCTGCTGGTTCTGCGCCCGGGGTCCCGCCGCCTTCTGCTCGCGGGTCACCTCCCTTTTTTTGGCTTAATTAGCGGCAGCTTTGCTAGCTTTGAAAGCGAGGAGGCGGCCCTGTCGGGAGAGTGGCAAGCCCTGCTCTCATTGTCCGTTTGTTTGTAACGTCGCGGAGCGCCGTGGCCGTAGGCGCTGCCGGCAGCGTGTAGCCGGTGTCTGAGGCAGTTGTCTGGCTCGGCACACCCGAAAAGGAGAAACTCTGGTTTTAGGGAAATACCGTCAGTTCCTTATGAAACGTTATTTACCCCAAGTATGTATGTTTTTATCAAGGAGGGGAAAGGTTGTTACTGAGGTGGTCCTGATATGCAAAAATAGCTTGGGACCCGAGGAGAACAGAAAACTAGAATAAGTTGAAAAAAAAAAAAAAAAAAAACAAAACAAAACAAACCACTTTGAAAATAAAAAAAGAAGCTGTAGGCCCTAAGTCACAGTTAGAAAAAAACCTTGCAAAGCCAGCAAAGGAAATGAGTAAAGCTTATAGTGAAAATACAAAAAAGAAATGAGGATTGGATTCCTGAAATTGGCAGACAGAGGAATTAAATACAGAAGAAACAACTTTTAAATAAGTGTGTGTTTGTATAAAATATATGCAGTGGTGTCCTTAATGCACACATACATACATATATGTGCATGTTGAGTGTCTTTGTGTGCCTATGTGTGCTACAAAGTAATTTAGTAATAAAGTGGTGCCTAAAATCATATGTAGACAAATGTCAAATGCTGCACATAAGGAAAAGCAGCTTTCCAACTCAGATGCATAAGGCTGGGCGCTGCACTAAATTTGGACGAGTCCTGGAGTCAAAGCTCCAGGCTCCGCGCATGCCAGCTCGGCGCTCGCTAGTGGTCAAAAAAGAAATCCAGTGAAAGTTAGGAGCTGCAGGGAACAGAGCAGAAAACGTCGTTAATCCTCTGCAAATCCATGGCACGATTGCATCGCGAATCCTGTTGGGTTTTCTTCCGCTCCTTCCCTCCCAACACGTGCCCGGTGGCATCGCGGGACGGAGCGTTGGGGCTGGGGCTGCGGCGAGCCCGGCGCGGGGCAGCGCCGGGGGCTGGCGGGCAGGACCTGGGGGCGGGAGCTGGCGGGGTCGCTTCACTCTGTGACGGTGCCACGTCCCCGGGACGGTCACGGGTGGCGGGGGTGGATTTGGGAACGGAGAACTCCGGAGGGAAGAAACCCGCCTGTCTGCAGGAGCGTCCGTGGACGGTCTTGGCACTGCTGGTTAAGCACAGTGATCGAT